CCTTTCGAGAACTGGGCTCCGTGGTGGTAGTGGCAAATCACAGGAAGACAGTTTCTTGTAAGCTCCAGTAACTCAGTGCTTCTTATTTGCCAGGAACATGGGTTCCCATGTAGCAAATCATCTGTTGTGCCCTGTACTCCTTAGCTAGTTAAGTCACAAACTGTGTTTTACGACTAATCCTTAATAACTATGGTAAATAACTGTGACTGTGGGTTTTTTAATCTGTCTTTCTCATCCAAAAGTGACCAGCATACCAGTTACTGCAATAAGGTATTACCCTCAGAATATTAAGCACATTCTTGTAGAGAAAAAACTGAAAAGTCTGCGTACACATATAAGTGCACACATATGTACATTCATCCTCACACATGGCACATAGTGTCTCATTTGATATCATGTAGGAAACCTAAAACCGTTTCCTGAAGTCATCTGTAAAATAGTCTCATTACTAAGGCATCCCAAATGCCAACTGGTGAATCCAAGATCAAAATGCATATGTATTGTTCAATTATAGGGTTTAGAATAAAAGGAACCCTTCACTGTGTCTCCTGGTCCCACCCCCATCCTTTGTGTGAATTCCTTTAGATTAAGGGCAAGAAGACTTCTTTCTCTTTATTCTTCAGTCTGAAACTAAGACCAAGTCTTTCTCAGACAAATGCAGCATATTTAATGTTTGTAAGCAAATCTAAGTGACATGTTTGGCAAGAAATCCCTTAACAGATTTCCATCCAAACCTACTTATATAGCACAATATTACGTGTCGTACAATTACTGTGAGAACTGTGAATATGTGTAACTTTTTTTAGTATTTGCCCTGGGGAGGGAAAGATATTGTATTATCATATATGCTTTTTTTTGCAATAAGGATTTATTCTCAGAACACCAAGTAAATCTATCTCTATATTAAAAAAATATATGTAATATATACATATTCAAACTATATACAGAGCCTGTTTTAAAAAAATTACAGTATTATTTAGTAAAATTATCTGTTCTATGGACCAAATGTAAAATATTTATAAATGAAGATGCATTTTAAATGTCTATAAATGGTGTCATAATTAGCGCACAGGCATTATGTACGTTTCTAAGAACATAGAGGGAAAATAATAAAGGTTCTATGATATACAGTATCAGACCTTCAGTTCTTTGGGGTGAGGACACCATAGCCTCTTTCATCAGAGCAATGATATGCACACAAAAGGTTTCTTCCTCTACGGAGAGAGAGAGAGAGAGATCTGGGCCCCAAACCCAGGGAGATGGAGCTGGACTTCTCCCAAAAGTCTTGGGATGAATGGACAGAAAATGATTTCTGAGCCACATAAGGAGGTGCTTTCCCTATTCTAGGAAACTTTAAGGTGGTCATCTAAATGAAGATCTAAAACTAAGATAATGGGAGCACATTTAGTTAACAGCACTCATTCATTCACTCATGATTCATTCCTCAAAATACTTAATTTTAAAATCTTATTTAGAAAATTTTGAATTCTACAGAGAAGTTGTAAGAATGGTCCAACAGACACCCAGATTCACCAGTTGTTGACATGTTGCCACTTTAACTCTGTCCATCAAGATTCAGTCTGGGAAGCAGAACCGCTATGAGTATTATGGAATAAGGAACTTATTAAAGGAACAAGACCTTATACAGCTGTCGGGGAAGTTAAGAAGTAAAGTCTGAAAGAAAGAGTTGGGAGATCAGAGGCGAGCCACTAGCCAGGTGAGCAGAAGTGGTACGTTTACCGAGGCTGTTGCCCCCAGAATCATACCCCTGCCCCTCCCTCAGATAAAAACCAATTACTCTTAAGTTTCAGGAGGAAGCTGCAAAGAGAAGAAACAAGAACCAGTTAAAGCCAACTAAGCCCAAGATGGAGGATTTGACTTCCAGTAGACCTTGAGCCTCATTATATGCTCATTACAATACATTAGCATGCTAAATGACACCCAGCAGTGCCTTGACAGTTGATGATTGTCATGACAACAACCAGAAAAGCCCATACAAGGACTGAAAAGGAGAGCTGCATCAGTTTTGGGTCCAAACCGTACTGCTGTTCTCAGATAACTCATGAATATTCCTCCCACTCTTTCCAATTCACTCCCTTTTTCCTCAACCTTCCTAGATATTTGGTGTCTCCACCTGCATTGGGTTGAGAAATTGATTTGCAAAGTAAGTTCCCACTTCTCTATCTTCGGCCACTGAATAAAGCCTGTACTGTTCCAGTCTCAGCATTGGTTTCAATATTGGCTGTGCAAATCTAATCTGAAAAAGAACCTCCCTGGCCAGGACAGGGGGTCTTGGCCCAGGCTAGGACTGGGCAAATTCTGTAACAGGCAATTGTGTGTCCCCCACAGTTCCTTGGGTGCCCCTTTGCATAGCATAGCATTCATCATGACCCCTGAGCACAGAATTCCGGTGGACCTACAGTGTGTGCGAGCTGAGTGAGACTCAAAGCCAGCACAAGGTAAGTGTGTTATGTCTACAACTGAGTAGGTGGGGCCCTGAGAGGCCACACACTCTGTTGGAACCAGAACTTGCTTCCAACACAGAGAGAAGGCAACTGTATGCTAAGAAACACCCAACAATAGCCAAGGAACCCTGTTACACTCATTCAAGTTACTTCCCTTCCCACTTACACTGAAAATGGTGGCATAGAAGGAAAGGGAAAGGTGTGGCAACCCATTCTTTCTTTTCCTTATTCCTTCGTTAGAGAGCTGAAGGTAATGAGTATGGGCAAACCGTGTGCATATCAAGAAGTGAAATAAAAACAACTCAGTTTTGTGCCGGTTTCTGCTGTTGCTGGTAAGCATGAAGTGCATACACATGTGCAAACTTTGAAGTACTGTTGTGTAATTCACATATCAATTAAATGTGCTTATATTCTTATTTGCACACTATAAAGCTGAACAGTAAAATTCATGTTAAGGATTAAGATTTTAAGTTTCCTTTACTTAGAATGACATTAAATAGCAAATTAAAGAAAAAAAACCATGACAAGTCAAGAGAAATACCATGGATGGAAGAAAAAGCCTTATAAATAGGGCTTCTTTCCTGCTCTTTGAACAAGCAGCCCTGCATATTCCTTTTGTACTGGAGCCTGAAAATAAAGCACTGGCCCTGGGGGAAGCCTAGGGAAGGCTGTTGCTTCTTTCTGTGTAGCATCCACCTCTGGGCCACTGGTCGGTAGGGCAGAGGGCAGGGAGAGAAAGGACAAGGCTGACCCCTCCACACCTCTACACATCTGTACCTGACCCTAAAGACCTTCAGAGAGTAACAGCTTCTGTTTCACTTCTGCCTCCCAAACCTTGAGCAAACGTTGCTTTTGGCCAACTTTCACCCAGAACCATATAGTGAAGCAGAAATCTGGGGAAAGTCATTTTAGCCAAACTAAGTGAACAGTATAATGCAACCTCCCTCCTTCTTTCTCTTCATACATAAAAATAATAATACTAATAATATTTTAATGATGATGATAATGATGATAATGACTTTGGTAAACCATTTGAGAATAAGTTGCTGACATTTGGA